TCTCAGGACTCAGGCTTCTAATTTTCAATGCAGTAAAACAGAGAATTCCTCTAGGAAACATAGTGGTTTAGACTATCCCAAGTTGGAGACATTCCATCCATCCCCCTAGTTCTTGCTCATTCAGTATGGCTTCCTGCTTTGTGATGCAACTTTACAGCTTTTAACTGTAGTTGGGACTCTATCGGCCTCATGTTTGCACATTTCTCTGTGGATATACAGCGTGTCTTCGTATCTGTCTATTATCCTTATCTCTCACTTCAGAGTGTTCAGCAGTTAATTCTAGATTTCAGTTTTGCAAATCTAGACATCAAATATTACGCAGCATGATCCACAGAGAGGGCAATTTTTCTTTTCAAGGTTAAGCTCATTTTTTTTTAGCTGTGGACCATACCACAGCGTTGGTCTGTACTGCACTCTCAAAGGCAATGCGATGAACTAAATGCATATTGCTGCCACACTGACAGGCTCTTTTTGGGGGTGGGGGAGCCTGGAATTTCTTCTAAATTTATTTTCCCTTTGAGTTTGGTGCTTTGCTTTCCTACCTTGGGTACCCTGTCTCACCCAGAGCATCAGTGTTCCCTCCCTTCCCAATGTCTTTGCCATCTGCAAAGAGACACAACGCCGGGTAGATTCTATAACACTGTTCTGCCAGGAGTTCTCTGTCTGCATCTCTTCATCTCCTGCGAGTCTCTTTGATGGCTTATGTTTCTACCATTTCTCCCAAACACTTCCAGCACCCAAAGTTAAAACCATCACACAAGATAAACGAGGAGACTCGCAGGCATTCTAAGTTCTTTTCACATGTCACTTTGGCACATGATACCAGCAGCAAAAGTGGAACTGTGAATCACATTTTCTAGTTATGAATTAAATATTCATGGCTGGAGTTCCCCCAGAAAACTCAGATACATGGCTGCCACCTGTCTTTGTCAATAATGGAAAAGGATGTAGAATTTTCTTAAGCCTGAATAGTCCAGTTTGATCCCTAAAATTTGACAGGCTGGTTTCCTGACTAGGATGAAGTACTTACTGGGTTTAACGGTGAGTCTGGTTCCAGCACCGAAAGTCATTTTGTCATTTCCATAGTTGGCACAGTGTGCCAAGCCATTACAAAATCCACCGTGCCAACTCTGTCAACTCCCTGCAAGCCTCAGCCCATTTCTGGTGAGCCTATGCCCTCTGGCACTTCCTCACACTGCCCGCTGCATCAGCTGAGGCAACAGGCTGTCATCGGGAGAGCGTGGCAGGTGACTTTCTGCTAAGTTTGTACTTAGGGAGGACAGGAACCTTCTTCTTCTCTCTGGGTACTTTCAGTTCAGTGCTGAGCCTAAGCACAGATACAAGTCAGGGGGCCTGGCCATGCTTCTCACGCCCTGACATTTCCCATATTGCATTTTTCTGTGAAGTTTCCTCTTGTTCTCCTGGCCTCTGTCCCTCTGTCTCTCTTCCCTGCTGAGTCATCCCTTCAGCCTCTGTCCCTGAGGTGGGATACTGTGGTGGAAACTGATGTCACTGCAGTCTTGGGGAATGAGCAAGAGCAAAGGCAACTGCTGCAACCATCCATTGTCTGATCATCTCCCCTCAGGAACTAAGACCTCTCCTGGCATAGACCATCCTGGGAGGAAGGCCCAACAACATTCTACCCAGGAGCAGGGGAACCCAGTAGCAAACTTTTGGTAGCTCCTTCTGCAGGTTCAGGATTTTACAGAATGATGATAGAAAATTTTTTGACTTACTTGGAATAACAGTCAAGCTTGTCCCTGTCCCAAAATAGAGTTTCTGGGAACCTGTGTTCCACTGTGACAGGAACCTCAACAAAAACCAGCAGAAGACAGAACTAGAGTCTACACCTGGGCTCCCCATGTGGGCAAGTGGGGAGCGACAGGCTGGCTGTCACTTTCCCTGTAAGGCAAGGGTATTAGAAGGAGGAAGTTCCAGGGCTTAAAGCACCTTGACCCTGTGCTGCTGGAAGGTGGCTTCCTCTTAGGAGATGATTAGAAGGACTACTAATATGCATTTGCTGTGCCTTACTGTCTAATTTAGGTGTAGGCCATTTGTTTTATGCTTGGGTATTTAAGTTTTTTCCTTTTAAGACTTAACTTATCTTTTTGATCATATGATTCTGAAACACATTGTAAAACCAGGACTCCTTATGAATTGTCTTGACTCTGGGGAAGATTTTATTTCTTTATTAAACTGTCTTGGTTAATCTAGACAGAAGCTAGGACCATGTTGCTATACCCCACTCTGCTTCTTTTCTCAGACACCTCGACCCTTGGATGCTCATCATTCTCTCCACCTTAAATACCTCGAATATTTGGTGAGAATGTAGTAGTAGAGCACAGATAGCCTTTTCGACACCACTCTCAAGGCCCACACTTTCCAGGATACCTTCTAAGGTCTAAACTTACATTTGCTGTTCTTTGACATCTTTTCTGGTGAAAGTTAGTAGACCTCAATTCCTTCAGCATCATGTCCTCACTCACCCTGCCATGGAGCTCCATGTTATGACCATGAATCCTACCATACTCCACAGCAATGGTCTCAACCTGTGGGTCTCCATCCCTTTGGGGGATGAACAACCTTTTCACAGGAGTGCAATGTCAGATACCCTGCATATCAGATATTTATATTATAGTTCATAATAGTAGAAACTTACAGTTAAAAGTATCAATGAAAATAATTTGAGGGTTTGGGGTTACCACAACACGAACACCTGTATTAAAGGGTCCCAGCATTAGGAAGGTTGAGAACCACTGCTCCACAGACAGCATGCAAACTTACTTGGGATGACTGATAAGGATGTCCCCTGTCCAAACACCAGATTGTTGTAGGAGGAGGATGTTGCACAGCAAATCAACCCTTTACAATAACTGGCAGGTGACTCCTAAAAAGCAAAGCTCCTAGCTTTTTTTGTGATACAACTTCAAAAGTGTCTCAGGTCCTGTTCAACTTATGGGATCTGAGTACGAGACACATTTTGAACAGACTTTGTTTGGGATAACAGTGCACTTCCTAGGAGTATGCCATTCTTATTGGTGTCATTAGAACCCCTAGTATGCAGTAGGTTTTAAAAGGCACCCTTGTCTTCTTCTCCCATCTTTATGATTTCTCTACCCCACAGCATTACCATCTGTATCTCATTTCCATCTCCAAGCTAGGTCGGTGACACTAGGTCCTCAGGCATCATCGATCTACCTTCTTGGAGACAGCGTATGTTCATCAGCACATTGTGATTAAAGGGCTACAAATGCCAGGCTCTCCAAAGCTGAGATCTGGACTCCCTGCATCTTACCTCTGGTCAATATGTTGTTCTCATTTGTCTGGCTAATGAAGGGCTGACCTTTCTAAGTGGATGCATTTTGCTGAAATGACAGCTGCCAGGGAGCTAACAACAAAGATCATGCTCCGGAGGCTCTCTTGGCCTTTCAGACCCCGTTGGCATATTTCAGTCAATTGGATCTGAGCAAAAATGTCAAGCTCTCAGTGTTGGTGCTCACACTCCTGGGCTTGGAACTTAACAACAACAACAACAACAAAATGAGCAATACTGCCACAACCGTGACTCTGCTAGTTAGAACCAGACTTTACTAGGAATTGTCTTGCAAATTTGTGACGTTTATGCAAACCCACCTTGACCCTGAGAGCAGTATTGCTGACAGCCTCACTCCACACCTACCTGGTATGAATCTGCACTGCTAAGGCCAGATAAAAAGAGTCAAGTCTGATAGGTATGTTCTCCACACACTTAGAATCTGTGCTGCGCTCTCTGCCTGCAGAGAGCTGGTTCAGGGCCAGTCTAGGCACACATCTCTTTGTGAGAAGACACTGTCCTTGGTAGAGTTCCTGGGATAGCAACTACAGCGGTGACACCTTTCTCTTTGGATATCTTCCTCCTGATTCAGTCCTATCAAGCTCCTTTTTAACTATTTCCTCTCTTGCTTGCCATTCGCTGAATTTATTATTTCTAAGCACCCACACTCTCCAAGCTTCAGGATCTCTTTATTTCATGTCTATTTGGCTCCCTTAGGATCCCTACAAGGAAGATACAAAAGGCCCGAAGTGGGGAAGTAAACAAAGACATGTGGGGGACACTGAGATGGGCCTCTCTTTCCAGTTTGTGTCTCTTTCCACATATTGGCTTTGCCTCACTGTCACACATCTCTCTGCAGTGGGAGTTTTACAACAGATGACAGAGGAATTTTATGCATCTTAAAAAATAGTCACATTTTCCTCTCTCCCCAGCGGGATCCAGCCACAAACACACTAGAACCAAGTCTTCCTATCTGCTCTAATTATTTGCAAAGATGCAAGTTACCATGAGAAGAAAGGTTTTAAGTCCCGGATCTGACAGTCTTTGGAGTTAATTGTAATTTTTTTGCCTGTGGTTTCGGTGATAGGGAATGGACATAGTAGTCATTCTTTCTGTCTGTCGTTTCTTTCTTTTTGTAGTTTTGCATTTATAGATGTAGTTGGATACATGCAGAGAACACAGAGGGATTTGAAATGAGACCTTACAGTCCCATCCAGTTGTCTATTTTTCCTTCTCTGTTTCATTTAAAACCCTTCCGAACTGAATACGACATAGCTATTCACACTCTGTTCTGATTATCTCTCTCTGCTGGGGAGGTCTCCAGTGGAGGTGGACTTAGCTGTGCCAAGAAGAGTTTAAGATTTCTATAAGGGGGACCTTTCTGGTAGGGAATGCTGTGAAATATAAGATGGGTTACTCAGGAGGAGTCATTTGGAAAGAGTTTCCTCCTCCCTCCAAAAGTAAGATCCCCACTTCCAGAGAAGACTTCAAGAGTGGTAAAGATCCTTGCCTTCCAATGTTAGGATTGGCTTTACTCTCACAGGGGAAGAGACTAGATGAGGCTGAAGAAGACAAAGGAGCTTGAACAGCAAAGCGTGGCTCCTAAACAACACACAATTGTTTTAAACCTGACACCAGGGATTGCCCTCAGAATTCCCATTGTGCTGCCATGTCCTTTCTCACTTACTTGGATGGACCTTAAGGATGGTCCCTTGTCCAAATGTCAGCTTTCCAGTGTTAGCACCAGTGTTAGCACTGTAACAGAAGCCTTTACAAAAACACTAGGTGGAACTCTGAGGCTCACAGGCACCTTTCTGTTTTAGTTTTGGGGGAAAATAAACTCACCCAGAAAGGCCTAGGTTTGTGAGACTGAGTATAACTCTCTGAAGGTTGGGGCCATTTCTACATTTGGTCCAGGGATGCTGACCAGCAGGTACCCAGGGCCTGCCTCCCACCCATTTCCTCTGGTTTCATAACAAGTCTTACTGATTTCTCCCGTTCAGTGTTCTCTTCTAAAGGTCTCATTTCCATTTTACAACATCATTTTCAGGACAATTTCTCTGTTCAGTTTTCAAGGCATGTCCTTCCCTCCCCTCGAGGTGTCACACATTTCTGATGACAATGAATTGATTACAAGGAGACAGGAGGATAGTGTTCCGCCATTTGGAGGCTGACTAGAATGAGATGAGGTTTAGATTCCAGCCCTGGGAAACACTGTCTCCTCAGCTCCCTTCTGGCCTTAGCACAGGAAAGAGAAATGTTGGGCACACTGAGCCGAGCCTCCACATAGAGTAGCTTTCTGTTAGTCTTGAACTGATGGCGTGTAAGCAGTAGCCCACAGGAAAGTTTACCTCTGAGTCCAGTTATCACAATTAACTACTGTTAATATAATGACCTGTCTGGGGAGGCCTCTCAATCTTGCAAAGAGCTGGTGACCCCATCATCTCAGCAGAGGTGTGCGACCTTACAGAGCAGACCTGGCACTACAGTGGAGAAATTAAGAGATGTCCCTGTGGGGGCATTCTTGTATAGTTACTTGAGATAGCTGTAAATTCCATTTCTTGATCAAACAAAGTTCCTAGTGCTGATAGTTACAACCATGGGAATCTGGGGCTTTTTGTTGGCTAGTCTGATGGATGCTACAAAAAAAATCGCAAAGAGCAAAATTCACATGCTTTTATTATATGGCATATTTTAGTCCTTTAGTTCAATTTGACTTTTAAACTGCTATTAAACATTAGGAAAAAAAACAAAGTTTATGGTTGTATCTCTACTCACGTCTTTAGCAATTACTTATTAACAAAGAGTTAAAGTTTTAGCTTGCCACTGTCATTAGGATGGAGGAGAAAGAGGCTGGGAGTGAAGAAGTTGTGCAGCCCTTCCCTCACTGCCTGTAACCTCCTCCTCATAGAACACAAGTCAAAGACTATGACTGCTCTTAGCCAAAGCCCTCATATGTGTGGCCACCTAAGTGCCACTATGGCAAAATCTGTGTTCTGTAGACAGAAGAAAACAGAATTCATCATGGGTTTGTTAGGCTCAGCCTTGCCTTGTAGTCTCTGCAAAGAGCAAGCCCACTGCATGGGGAGCCTTGTGTGCAGTTACAGTCCAGCATGCCAGAAGGATGCCTGCCTCACACAGCTCTTATCTTTGCGTGGTTAGGTTGGTTTACCAACATTTTAAAGTGTGGAGGTTGTTACAACTCTCAGGCTCCAAAAAAGCCAATGAAGAGCCAAGAGGGGTGTCTTAGCTTCTCCATTCGGGAAAACCCACCACAAACTTCTGCTCTAATCTTGTAAGACACCTAAAGTTAATACCTACCGCCTAGTTACTCAGCCTTAGGTGCCCACCCAGGACTCCTGTTTCCATAAGCTACCGGAGTGCTTGGGGTTTAGCCGCACCATGTTTGTTCACTGTTTGTGTTGCCGTGGACTGGCTGATTCTGCCCCTGCTGAGCAGTGCACCAACCATGCTGTGTGCTCTGCAGCCTGGATGTGTCCCAGAACGTTGTAAGCCTGGTACCATCTAACCTCCCTGACTCCTCGCGGCTGCATACAGCCTACCCTGAATCTTTCATCAATGTCCCTTTTCTGGAGCTACTCCTTTGAAGAGCCTTGCCTGGACTGTTTCACCACAACCACACCCCTTGATCACAGAATAAATAAAACCAGGAATCTGGCTTTTATGCAACATCCAGACCATGCAGCTTATGCTAGGAAGGAGACTCACACCCTTCAAAGTCTTCCTACTTTTATGTTAGCCGAATTTTAGAACAGGTCAGTTTTGAAGTATATTCTTAAACCCATGTCAATAGCAAACCACAGTGACTTTTCTATAATTTTTTTTAACTGTCTCAGTGCACATATGTCCTCACCAGAGAGAGCAGGAGTGTACAGGAGGCAGAGACTTCTCTGCTCTCACAGCTCAGAGGACAGACAGATTCCTCCACTCTTAAGTGAACTAAGCAGAGGCTAAAACATTATTTTGTTACCAAGAATCTAAAAGGGGTTAAATACTCTCCCCAGGGAACCAGACAGTCTCTCCTACAGAGATCTCAAGTACTCCAGGAGGGACTGAGGACAGTTTCTTTAAGAGAAAGAGCAAGAAGGTAAAAGAAAAAGAAAACCAGGCTACAGAATTCCCATCGCTAGTTAATGAAGTCACAGGGTTCCACATTATTTCGGGGGGTAGGTTTAGTATCTACAGTATTTTTGGTTCACTAAATTTGCATAGTCACAACATGCCAATTGACTTTCAATTTTTCTGGAAAATCCCTTCTGGCCTTAGACGAATCCCTCTGGATCCTGTATGCAATTTGCTTCCCTGTACCCATAATACCAATAATTTCACTTAAGGTGAATGACTGGGATATTTTTGGCTAGAGGCAATTTAGTCTTTGTGCAGCGGCATTGGGCACCATCTCTCCAATAATAAATCCATTCAGATTTAGGAGCTAGGCTGGGAGGCTTCAGAGGGGCATGCTTGGAAAGAGAAGCATCTGAAGGGCCCCTCCTGCCCCCCCTTAATACTTACTTGGATTCACAGTTAAGAGAGTTCCTTTCCCAAATGTCAGTTTGTAGTTGCTGCCTCCACTGTTCCCACAGCCCGGGGAGGCTTTACAAAAACAGACCAGGCTGCTATTGCAAGAGGGCCCAGGCTGCTCTCATTCCCACACTGCACTACAGGCTTTGCCAAGACCTGGGCTTCTAGAAGCCATTGGAGGGCTGTGATATATAAACCCGAAATGTATACATCTTTAAGTCTTAAATACGCTATATTTTATTACTCCTTTTATGATTCAGCTGCCACCTTCATTTTGGCAAGCCGTTTCTTTCTCTTCCTTCCTAATTGTTGTCGCCTGCTTGGTGCTCACGTAGTTTCTAGTTTATTGCACTTTTGGGGGCCATGATTTCTCTGCTGTTTATTGAATTACTTATAATCAATTCACTGGTTTCTGGTCCATGTGAAATGGATTTCAGAAGAGAAAACGGCCAGGGACACAGGTATGACGTGAGGCTGAGGACTTGTCCATCATCCCCCGAGGAGTGGGCGAACCATGTGTGTCTCTCCAACAGAGTTCAGAGGACACGATCCAGCATGATGGCTATGGAGACCTACAAGCAGCTTCAGCCTCCATGTTTACTGGGGTCAGCCTGTCCCTTCCTCACACACAAGCTTCTAGAAGCCTCCGTAAGAGTTGTGTCACATCATATAGCTTTACAGAGCTTGTATACACACTGCATAGCCAAGGCCTTTTTCTTCTCAAAGAAGCCAGGCCAGGCTCCTAGCAGTCAGGTCAGCTGTGGAGAATGGCTGAGCCCCACAGACAGGAGAGGTGTGGCTGCTCCTCCCTGCTGTGCTCTTCTAGTCCTTCACAAAGTCTCCTGTGCCGGCTGTAGCGTGCACTGGAAACTTCAGTGTCTGTCAGACACTTAACATCTTTATCTTTTTTCCCCTTCATAGGTTTTAACTTTTTTTTCCTCTCGCCCTTCATCCAGCCTTTGGAGAGCTTTCCCTAAAACAGCTGGATTAAAAAGAGTCTTCACTCTTAAAAGTCTCCCAAGTGAAGTTAAGCTGGCTTCCTCCTTAAAGTTTCTGGGCTGACTTTGGGGCCGCCTCTTCGGGGACTCAACACTCCGCTCTCAGACAGGAAAGGTTAAAAGGCGCATGGAGGAGCCAGGCAGGGGCCTGTCATCCCTCTGTGCTTATTTCTGAACACCTCTCCCCTCCCCCACAACTGGCAGCCAGGTCATTGTTACTAATGGGAGCTGTCCTCAAAATCAACCCCAGAGGACCCTTCCCATATGCCCTCTAGTCTTGAAAGGAGGCATGGTACCCTTTTCCACTCAGCTCCTAGTTGTGCAACATGAGAGGATTAGGAGATCTGTTTGCTTCAGCCCCTTCCTGTCCTTCTCTAATAGTTTCAAACTATTTATAGAAACACCCCTTTAGGTTAGAGAAATGTGCTAAGTCTCTAATCGCTTCATCTTTTTTCTTGCTATCTATTTACTGCAGTCATATATTTACAATCTAAATTTCCATTTCATTTCCATTTCAGGAGCTCCCTAATGCACTTTTCTATTACTTCCGGAACACTGTGCAGAATGACAAACTACTGAAACAAAACAAATCACAAGGACTTTTTAGGGCTAGAGATTGACATTTCTGTCTGCTCAAGACAGGTCTGGGATGAACATATTATTATGACTTTTCCAGGCAAGACCAAATATGCAGTCCAGGTAACTGGCCAATGAGGCTCTTGGGACTGACAGGCTATGTCTAAGGAGCTGTCTGTTGAGCATCACTCCTTGGGATTACTTTGGATTTCCTCTTTAATCTACTTCTCAAATGTCAGCTTCCTATCTTTTTTAGAATCCCTCTGGCAGGGAAAGCTTAAGGTAGATCTCAGGGATGTGTTTTGAACCTCAACTGATATTTCATCTTCACACACATCACAAATAGAGGAACTGAAGGAAAGGAGACTATAACACTATTGGGAAAGAATTTAAAACAGTTCCTTGGGACATATTCGAATTATAAATAAAATAGAATTGTATATTTTTTCCTGATTATATTTCTATTATCTGGAGAGCTCAAAATAGCTGGTCCAGTCTGGTAGTGTTAGCATATGACCTGCTAGTTCCTGTGAACTACTAGACACACAGGCCAGCATCTAACTGGTTTTCTACTTGATGCTATTTTAGGCATGAAGGACTTAAGGAAGGTCAAATAGAGGCAGCACAATGGTTATGAGG